TAGTTTATTTATTTATTTGTGATCTATACCATCATCCAGCTGATCTTGACGAAATCCCTGTGCATCCAGAGTATTAGATTTACCAAAACGGTAGACGAGTGCTAGTCATATTATGTCCGAAAATATGTTCAATTTTGCAGTTGGTGAGGACAGCGTCTGACTTGGTCAGATGCGACCTGACCTATATTTGCATAGAGGTCCACTTTTCAGTCTAATTTATCAATGGGTTGTTGGAGAGGAATGAGTTAGAAGGTCATTTGTGTGACCCTTGAAGACGTCACTCGAGGATTTTTTGCCAAATTAAACACCCAGACCACAAACAAAGAGAAACCAAGTCACGTAGCACAGTACGTTTTTCACACAAATGACCACCATAATGCAGCACAGAATCAGTTCCCTGTGCTCACTTTCAGTGAGTTTAGACTAGACTAGAACTCAGGATCCTTAAGAAAAGTACAATAATTTCCGGTGTACAGCTTTGTGTCAAACATCGGATGCTTCTGGGGGTACACAGTGTAGCCATTTTGTCGAAACGCATTCAAGAGATGGAATTCAATGCATCCTACTCTGTTGAATTTATTATTAGTGTAGCATTCAAATGAAAACTAGCCATGAGAGGAAATGAATAAAGCTTTCCCTCCCCTAAGCAAGTTTGCCAAAAATAAACTGATAAAAAGTAGCTGACAAAGAATTCTATGGACGAGGAGGTGTCTTAAGAAATACGTCAATGCACTGTAGAAAAATAAACCTCTGTCAAGATTCGTTATGGTCTTGGACATCTTAATCGAATTGTACTGCGGAGCATAAGCGTGGTATTTTCCACTACATCAATTGGAACACAGTGCTGCGTAACAGCCAGTGTGATGTAAAATCACTTCAAATGATTCACTACGATTTCCTAGAGTGGTTGATGACTGTTGGTTGATCATACGCAATGACTTACTTGTGCATGACTACGGTCGCGTAATGAGGAATAAACCGTAAAATGTGAATCAATAAGACGGGCAATTTTTCTCTCACTGTTTTCGCCGCATAAGTCCAATCCTCTTTGTCTCCAATATCAGGGGTGTCATTCAAGAAGTTGATTAATGCGGCCAAAGCAGCCCCACTGAAGAGGATACAATTTATGGAACTAATCGATATCCGTGAGTTTTTCATTCACGTTCTTCGTGATTGCTATG